GGGGCGGGGCTGCCGAGATCCGGGGCGGGGACACAGGAGGCCCCGCCCACCCGGAGCGGCCCGGTCGGCGGCGGGACACTGCGCCTGCGCGTTCCTGCTAAAGTGCTGGAAGCTCTTACTTGCTGGGTCCCTGGAGCCCCCTGCCCGCTGTCGCTCTCTCTTTTTTAAAGATTTATTTATGCATACAGATCTGGGGTGCAGGTCAGAAGTGCAGGGGTGGTGAGAGGATTCACCAGAGGCAGAGTGGGGAGCAGAACAGGCTCAGCAGAACTACACTGCTGAAGGGAGAGGGGGCAGGTCAGGAGAGACCTGCTGAGCCATGCAGGTCAGCTCCCTGGCTGGGGTTCTAACTCTCCGGTAAGCGGCTGCAGCGAACTTCATGGTGCTGCACTTTAACCCGCTGAGCCACCAGGGAGGCCTCCCCTCTTTCTCTTCTTCCTAAACTTTGGGTACCCCACCTCTGGGCCTTGAGTAAAGTGTGTGGGGTTCCAGCTGTGAAGACCAGCAGGAGAAGAGGGGGTTACTCTGGATACAGAGGGCTTTAAGCATTTAACTGAATGTTTCAGTCTCTCCCCACAATCCAAGAGGTACAAGAGTCACCCCCATTTCACAAATAAGAAAACCGATTCCAGGAGGTGCACTCATGCTCAAGATCACATCAGTAGGAAAAGGCAGCACTGGGAATCCAGGGAAAGGCCTGGCTCTGCACTGCCTTTCTCCTCGCCTCCCTGAGCCCCTAGTGTCTCACAGGAGCTGGCCCCTGCCATGCCTTCCCCCAGCCCCAAGCCCAGACTGGGCCCTAACTGCCCCTGGTCCTGGAGACGAAGGTCACAACGCCTTTGCAAGGGTTGTCAAGGCGCATTGCGCCATGGAGCAGCTTCGGGACACAGCATTCTCGCTCTGGCCTTGCTACAACTTGCTGAGTGAACTTGAGTGAACCCCTGCAACGTCTGTAGGTCCCACTTTCCCCATCTATAGAGTCTAAGGCCTCTGCAGGCCCTTCCAGTGGCCCCTGTGTTATGTCTGCCCCTGTCCATGCAGGCAGCACCCCTGCCCCAGAGCCAGGCTGGGGAAGCCTGAATCTGCCATGGCCAAGTCAACTCCAGCTGCTTTGGGTGCTACAAGGCAGAGCTGCCACCAGCTGAGCACTTGACTGCGCTTCAGCTTCCTGAAAGAGCCGCTGGCAGCGGCCTGCCGCCCTTCACCTGCTGGAATCCTGGAAGGAAGAGCCTGAGCCTTCCTCTCCCCCAGACTTGGCCCTGAATCAGAATGGAGCCCGGAGGGCCGACGGGAACTCCGGAGATGTGTGTTCCAGACACGGTGTGGCTTTGTTTTTAATAATTAACAGCAGCAAATATTGATTTACGCAGGCACTTCCAGGCCTGAGCACTTCCGGGCACCCATCGAAATGCAGCTGGAGAAAAATCCATTCCCACACTGCCCCTGGGGGAGACCAGACCTGGCCTGATCACCTGAGATGGCTACGTGCAGGCAGAGTGGACAGTGTGCACGTGTGTGCATGAACTATGTGTGGGGGGGAGACTGAGACCAGACCTCACTGTGACACATGGAAAGCCTGGGTGTGTGTCTGTGCATGTGTGTCTGCATAAGCCAGCACGGGTACCTGTGCACATCTCTGAATATGTCTGCAGGCGTGAACGTGTCAGTTCTCTCTGTCTGACCATGTGCATAGGTGTGGGTAAGCTGTACTTGTGCAGCAGGGTTAGGGTTAGGGTTGGGGTTAGGGCTAGGGAGAAACCCCTGAAGGAGGAAGGGCAGTAGGAGCCTAGATAGTTCATGCTTATACAGATGTGGCTCCCCAAGAAGATGGGGGTGCCCCCTTGGTGTTCTTTCTAGCCCGAGGGAAGAAATAGTGCTAACACAATAGTTCAGCTCCCAGTGTCTACTTTTCAAAGTGCTTTCACAGTTATCAACCAACTGTAAGTGTGTAAGAAAAAAGTGACTGTCTTGTCATTTTGCAGATGAGGAACCTGAGTCCCAGAGAGGGGCAGGGATTTGCCCATTCACACAAGGTCACCTGCTCTCAGACTGGTTCCAACACCACAAATGTGTGTGGTGTTAGAGGTCCCAGAGGAAAGGGGTGGAGAATGTATCTCACCCCACTGCTGCTTGTGGGGGGCCCAGACTGACCACTCCATCTCTCTGGGCCTTGGTTTCCTCCCATGTCAAAGGAGGGTGGTCACACTGTCTTGATTCTGAAGTGGGGATGGGTTGTGGTTTGGAGCCTGCCGTCTGGGCTCTGTTGAAGCAAAGGGAGGTGTCTAGCCAGGAAGCCAGGGAGACGGCTGCGGAGCTAATCTGAAGGCCAGCCCCAGGTTGTCTAGCAGGCAGCACTGCAGGCAATGTGTTGCTTCAAGCCATGCTTTCCGAAGGGGAAGACTGAGGCCCAGGGTGGGGACACTCTGGCCCAAGAACACAGCCAGGGTGAGCACTCAGGCTGCCCCCCAGATGCTCTGGGGGACAGGGACTGGGCACCTCACTTGTGAACCACAGAGTCCCTCCCTTCCTGCCAAGCCCCAGGGCCCACATGGCCCAGTTTGGGCTCTTCACCAGGTACAGAGTACAGGAGAGGGTCTCAGAAACCCACGGATGCTGTCCTCAGCACCTCACTTGGGGCCCTTGGAGGTAGTGGTCCCCCACCAGGACACCATTCCATGGCCGTCTGCGCTCCGGGCCTAGGAGAGGTGTGTGGCTCCTGTTCCAGACCAGAGAGCTAGGGGAAGAACTTGGCAGTTCCTACCTCACTCTTTCCTGGCTGTAGGACCTAAAGAAACTGCTTCCTCTCTCTGAGCATCTGGAGCATCATCCAAAGAATGCCCGCCACCCCGGGCTTGGTGACGTCATGTGGATGGCCTCAGAAACTTCACAGTGTACTACGAACGTGAGGCTTCTTCCTGTCTGTACTAGGAGGGCAGAAGACCACACACCCTGCCTAGACAGCCTGGTCCTGGCCCTGGCATCCTCACAGCACCCTGCCTGTGTCTCTGAGCAAGTCACTTAACCTGTCCATGCCTCGATTTTCTCAACCACAAAATGGGACACCCCCATAATACTGACAGGTTGGGGATGACATGAGACAGGGCGTGTGAAGTTACTGTGTGCACATGTGGGGAGCCTCATCTGTGCAGACTCGAGCTCTCCAGACCCCCAGTCCCCTCCCCCTGTGGGGGTTTCTCCACTTGGATTCAGTTGTAGCCACTGGCACATAGCGAATCTCAGTGAATGTAGCAGTTCTTACAGCCGACAGTGCCTGCTGCGTCATTCAGTTATTTGTCTCTTCACTGAACTACGGCTCCTTGAAGGCAGGGTTGGTGCCAGGGTGATTTCCGGCCTCTCAGTGCCCAGCACAAAGTTAGACACAAATCAGGTGCTGGACAAAACTTTGATTTTGATGACAACGACGACAACAGGAGCCTGGGGGCTGCTGTCACGAAACCCATTCACAGGCCGGGGGGAGGGGACTGGAGGTGGGCGGGAAGGTGGGCGGGGAGCGGGGGTGGTGGTGATGCTGATAACAAAGATCCCGAAGAGAAGCTGCTTGATCCCAGCTGCTGTGCCCACGGTCTGCAGACCTTGGCCCAGCCAGAGACCATGGCAGGCCCATCCAGGGGTCAGGGGTGGCACCCGGGGTCAGGGGTGGTACCCAGTCGGGGGCCAAGCGGCATCTATCTGAATATTTCGCCTCTGATCAGTCATCATTCCCAGGTGTCTCAGCCCCTGGGGTGGGATTGCGGGGGCAGACCAGCAGTGGTGGGAGGGGCACTCACCTTGGGGTGCAGTGAAGCAGTGTGGGAGGGAGCTGAGTCCACTCGTGGTAGGTCTAGTGCTTGAGGGACGCGCTGGGTGTGCCCATCACTCCTCCTGGGAGAGAACAAGAGGAGGTCAGAGACAGCCCCCGTGGCAGGTAGGCCTGGGAGCTCTGGAGGGAGTCAGAGCTGGGTGACAGGAGCATGAGTTTTTTAGGGAGGAGGGGGCCCGGGTTCCCCAGGAGGAGGCAGAGAGGAGGCCCCCTGACCAGGGCTGCCAAACAGGTCTCCTACCCCAGAGACCAGAGACGTGGGCAGGGTCTCTCCCCACGGCACCTCGAGGCTCCCCTGTGGCACACTCCAGCCCACTCTGACGGGTAGACTGAGGCAGGACGCTACGGAGGGTGATCCTGGCCTCAAGTGCTCCAGCCTCTGTTTCCCCTCCCTGAGCCTTAACAGCAGCCTCAGGGACTGAGAGGCCACCCAGGCTACAGCTTTCCTAAAAATAATTAATACTCTACCTATTACTGCATATGTCATATAAGTCTTATATTTACATAATGTGTAATAATAACTGAGCCCCACTGGGCCTGCCATGTGCCAAGCCCTGTGCCAAGCCCCTCTTTCTGGGCCTGAGGTCAGACTGCTCACCCTGCATCCCCCACCGGCACAGCCGGCATCTGAGTGAGGCCTGACGGACTCCATGCCTCAACTCTGCCCACGCCCGCACCCTCCCTAAGGAAAGGAAGCAGGTCTGGTGAGGGTGAAGTCAGTTCCCGTCACCCCAGAAAGCCTGCCGAGGAGCTACCTCTCGGGAGAGGAAGCGCCTGGTGGCTCCCGGGACCCAGGGCAGGGCGAGCAGGCGTGGCGTCAGCCCGCTGCCTAGGGCCACCTGACGTGGCTGCACCCTGCCCCAGCCCCACGAGAGGCTGGTCCTCGCGGGGTGAGTCACCAGGCTGCCCGATGATCCTCCACAGCCCTTTGCGGGCTTGAGTCAGGCTGAGCCGGGCCGCCACTCCCCAGGGGCAGGGCCTGTGAGAACCCAGACCAGGAAGGAGACCCCAGAGAAGCCCTGAGCCCCTCCCCAGCCCCCTCGGCCCACCAACTCCAGCGGGAGAAACAGCCCAGAGGAGCAGTCTGCAGCCCCAAACCTGGCCCCAGCTACCCTGCAGTTCCTGGGTGCTGGCAGCTGAAGGCGGGGTGAGCACCGGGACCACCTGACCCAAGGGTAGACAGGCTGGCGGCCGCGTCAGCACGGAGGATGCTGCTGTGTGAGAGCTGCGTGGGGGGTGGGGCACTGACACAGCCCCTCATGGAGGAAGCTAGCAGGCAACCACTCGCAATTCTCTGGTGTTCTTCCCTCACGGTAAGTTCCGACACGCCGCGAGGGCCTCAGTAGGCAGCTACTGAGTGGCTGAGGGGAGGATGGACGTGGGCAGCAGGAGGCTCTGAAGGCCTGCGAGTGAGGTCAGGGCCCCCACGGAGTCCTGAAAGTGGCAAGGCGGGCGACAGGGCAAGGCGGGCGCCAAGAGAGAAGTCCGTGAGTGGCCCAGGCCAAACCATCATGGCGACTCCTCGTTGGACCTGCTCTGTGTGTGGAACTGTGCCAAGCACGTCACACCGTCAGCTGCAGCGCTGAGAGGCTGGCATGGCTCGGCGCCCTCTTCACAGATGGGAAAACCAAGTTCAGAGAGGTGAAGCCAGTTGTCCTAGCAAGTGGGCACGGAGCTGGCACTCACAGCCCAGGCCCTCCACCAGGCAGGGACAGTGCCAAGGGCACGGAGGGCCAGGGGCCGGGGAGCCCTGGGCTGGAAGCCCAGCTGAGCCTGGCCCATGTGGTGGCAAGACTGGGCTGCTGAGCAGGGCATTGCCTGGGACAGGGCATGGCTTCCCCAGGGGAGGAACCCTCCCGCTGCCCCCGTCCCCTGAAGTTCAGAGGTTTAGACGGGACTGCACATGGCCCACAGCAGCTCCCAACACGCCCCCTCCCAGAACCCTCTCAGCCAGCCTCAGTTTCCCATGCTGAGGGCCAGCCCATCTCACTCAGCACTGCTTATGCTAGCACAGAGCTAGGGGGGTCTCTAAAGACAAGGGGGCTCTGGGTGCCATCTGGGACCCCACTGGCCGGAGTCCTGCCCCTCGCAGGCCATGAGCAGCCTCCAGGGAAGTCCACCAAGACGTCACTGTCGAGGCCCTGCCAGGCGGGGAGGGCCGAGCGCGTGGAGGCCCTGGCCCCTGGCTGCTCGCATCCCGCTCAGCGGGACAGAGATCAGGAAGCCACAGCCGGCCCAGAGCTGCCTTCGCCCTCATGCTCAGAACGAGGGGACAGGGGACCGAGGCTCCGAGAGGTGCGTTTACTCAGCAAGGTCACACAGGTAAGGAGGCCGCGTCACTGGAGCCGGGCTTGTCACTCCGGAGCCCCGGCCTGAACTTCCCGTGTCTGCGCCACCAGCCCTAGGAAACCCAGCTCGTGATGTCTGGGCAGTAACACAGCAGCCACAGCAAGGGTCTCCACACCGTGCCCGCACTGGCTACAAGCCTGTTAGAAGGGGCTGGATAAGACACCTCTGAAGGACCCAGAAACTCAGTCGCCCTCCTCCTGCTCAGTCTTCCTCTCCACCACCCCTTCCCCACCATCAGGCCCGACCCTCCCTCCCTCCCCCTCCTCCTCTGGCCTCTGCAGACCTGAAGCTCGGTCAGGTTCCTCCCTCATAATGAACTTGAACCTCTGTTGCTCCACACATCCCTGAAAGCCTCCCCGACCCTACAGCCCGGCTCAGCCTAAAGTGTCTGCACCCACACAGGCAGCAGCCAGACCACGCCCCGACAGGGGACTCTCCCTTCTTTCCCCTCTCCCTGGCCATGACTGGGTCATATCTACAGTTTACATGAGAAGTGTCTCATTGGGTTCAAACAGCAGTTTTGTGAGCTGACTATTGTCAGCCTGTTTTCCAGTTAAGAAAACTGAGGCGCCGCAGAGAGCTTAAGTGACAAGGCCAAGGTCACCCTGGGGAAAGGGCTGTGTCCAGGTTTGACTCCAGCCCAGGGCTCCGTCTGCTACAAATATCACAGTTGTTCCCAGGCCAGCCCTCTGTCCCGTCACCTGGCCTTGGCCCTCAGGGGCCTCCCCAGCGCAGTCCCTGGCTTCTGCAGCCACTACCCAGCATTTCCTGGACCCAGCTCCAATCCTGTCCTGTCTGGCCTGGACACCTGCCGACAGGTACAGGACACCTGGACACAAAAAAAGGTGGCAGCCAGAGAGGTGATTTGCCCAAGGTCACCCAGAGAGCTGAGCCAACCTGAAGTCTGGGCCAGGCACATTCCAAGGTCACCTTCAGGCCCTGCGGGCATGTGGCCGCCAGCAAGCTGGCCCTCTCCCCTCCCTCCTGGCTCACCCATCCTCTCTCCCAGGGAAAGGGTGAGGAGAAGTGGGGGTGGGGGGTGGGGGGTGCCCAATGAGTGGGATGGGCCAGGCGGAAGCAGCTGCTGACAGCTCCCGGGTTTCTTGGCAACTGTCACTGCTCCTCTTCCTCCTCCCTTATCTCCACATCGAGGTAATAATAATAATTGCACAGTCGTGAGTGCACTTCTTTGTACTTTTCAAAAGCCCTCTTTATCTGCTCCCTCCCGGGAGTCTCACCGGAACTGGAGCGGGAGATAAGGCAGTTGCTAGGATCCCCAGCTTCCAGAGGGGTAAACTGAGGCTTGAAAAGGTTCATCTACCTCCTTGAGGTCACCCAGCAGGGCCTGAGCAGATCAGGTGTCAGAACCAGGTCTTCCATGTGTCCAGGACGCCAGTGCTGCCCTGGGGTGGGGAGTTCTCCCAGGGGTTCCCACGGTGCAGAACTGCAGGGTCAGACCCAGGATGCTCAGGGAGATGGGGAAGGCCAAGGCCAGGTAGCCAGATGTCTGCTTCAGTTGCTTCCCACTGTTAAGCAGTGGAGAATCGGGGGGTGAGTCCTCTCTTTTTCTCTCACCTACAAAATGAGAGCCACCATGCCCGCCCAATGGGGTTGCAGAGAGGCACTGGGCGAGCATCACCGTGGCCATCACCATCATCGTCAGGTCAGCCACTGTCCAGTGGAGCCCCACCCTTCCAGGGCACTAGGGGTGGTTGGGCTGTCCTGTTGAATCCCTTCGGCTGTCCATGGCCAGCTGCCCAGGGGGAGGGGCCCTGGGGCCCTGGCCCCCTGCAGACTCTCCCAGCACCCAGCCACACCCTAGCCTTCCTGCCCTGGCCCTGGCCCTGGCCGGCCAGGCTGCACGCAGCTACTCCCGCTCACTCTGCACAGGCTGTTCTCCTGCCAGGGCTTCTTTATCCTGCTGTTCTGTCTGGTAAACTAGTCAGGCTTGAAAATTCAATGTAAGCGAGACTTTGCGGCCAGGGCAGGTGACATGTGACAAAACAGGAGGCTGACAGGGAGCAGACGATCTGGACAGGAGCTGACAGCACCCACAGGCCTCAGTGAACCCTGCAGCCGCAGAGGAGGGGCTCGGCCAGTCATGGGGCCAAGAAGGATTTGTGGGGGGCTCATCCACGACAGGAGCCCGAGGGGGCCAGTTCAGTGCTGGTCACCAGAGGTCAGAGTGCTTCGCATCACCCTGGTCTCAGCTGGCCCTACCAACCTGTGATTCAGGTGGGCGAAGGGGAAAGAGCACAGACCTCAAAGTGAGAAGAGGGCATGGAGGGTATTTCTGGGGACCCTCCCCCCATCTCAGGCTCCTCTGGGTGAGGCGTGGGTTACCTGTGTGCCCAGCCATGGTAGCGGGCCTGCAGAACGCTAATCTCCTGGAACCAGAGCCAAGCAGCTGCCCGGGCACTGCCCCCTCCCCCGGGGGCCACAGAGGCCCATTGTCTTTGGAGTTCAACCACCTGCCCCTCCCACTTGCCGCAGGCCAGCTCAGGTGCCAGGGAAGGTGGCCAGTGGCATCCAGATGAATGAGTTTCTGAAGCCAGGCACAGGGAGCCTGGACCCTCCCTGCAGCCCACCGGGAGGCACGGGGTGGGCACAGCTGTGCTCCAGCACCTTCGACCGCACCAGGACTCTGGGAAGCACAAGGTAAGGGCAGGGAGCCAGGTGCGGTGATGTTCTGTGGCGGTTACGACCGCCACCC